ATCATCATCATCATCATCATCAGCAGCATCAGCATCATCATCATCATCATCATCAGCATCATCATCATCAGCATCATCAGAATGGTTTTCCTCCTCATCCTCATCCTCTTCCTCCTCCTACTCCTCTTCCTCCTCATCGTCTTTCTCCTTCTCCGCCAACTCCTCCTCCTCCTCCACTTCCTTATCATCATCATCATCATCATCAGCAGCATCATCATCATCATCATCATCATCATCATCATCATCATCATCATCATCATCATCATCATCATCATCATCATCATCATCATCATCATCATCATCATCATCATCATCATCATCATCATCATCATCATCATCATCAACATCAACAACATCATCATCATCATCATCATCATCATCATCATCATCATCATCATCATCATCATCATCATCATCATCATCATCATCATCATCATCATCCCCCTCTCCCCTCTTCCCCTCCATCATCCTCCTCATCCTCCTCCTTCTCCTCCTCCTCCTCCCCTGCTCCTCCTCCTCAACCTCCTCGTTGTCCTTTTTTCTCCTCCTCCTCCTCCTCCTCCTCCTCCTCCTCTTCCTCCTCCTGGTCCTCTTCCTCCTCCTCTCCCTTTTCCTTGTTCTGGCCCTCCGCGTCCGCCGACGCGAACGGACCGACCTGGTCTTCATGACGAGCTACAGCGACACGGGCGCGCGGCCGATGTGTTCCGCCGCGGCGCGCCTGTCGCTGTGGCAACTTCCGCACGCGGGAAGTGGCCCCGCGAAGGAGTTCTCACAGCCCAACTCGTCCGCGACATTGTTACGGTCGCCCCGCGAGCACGTTGACGATCCACGGGGGCACGCAAACGACGCGGCGACGTAGCGGATGGCCAATGTAGACCTGAGCAAAATGCGCACGTCGCAGAGATGCTCTGCAGTGCAGAGCGCCACGGCGGATGGGGCACTCAAGATCCGCGTCGAGGGCGACGAGTCCAGGGGAGGCATCGACTCGGCGTGCCAGCGGGCCGAGAAGTTGCAGTTGGACGGGGCAGACGTTTTAGTGGACGCGCTGAGCTCTTACATCACCAGCATGGACACGCACCAGCGTTGCCCATGGCCGACATCGAAATCGATCACCAGCGCGTTTCCACTGCTCCTGAGCACAGATTCCCCAGGTTTCTGCGTTCTCAATGCGTTCGTGTTCGTGTGCTCCAGGATCGGGGTCAGGAGGGCCCACGCGTCTGCGGCGCCGCTGCTGGCCTCGCGCAAGTGGGCCGCTTACAGCACGCATTCGCACGACGGGACATTTGGGTCACTGGCCATTTAGCGATGATGTTCGCCGCGCTGGCAGCCGTCTTCGGACGGGGCCGAGCGGGTGCTGTCCAGGCGCATCCAGCCAGCAACCTCTTGAAGATAGATGCCCGCCCTCAGCTACGCGCGCGACTCTCTGGCCCGCACGCATCCACAGCAAGGGAGCAGACCATGGCATCGCTGGCCATGTTAGAACGCCTCCACTTGGGCCCGCGAGCGGTATCCGACAAGAAGTTGGAGCGCGGCGACGCGCTTGATTTTTCAGGCCTGCATGCGCCATTTTCTCTCGCTGGGATAAACCAGTTCCCCGAGCCCAAGAAGGCGCGCAAGTGGCTGTTCTTGAACGAGCAGGCGCTCTGATATTGCACCGGCCGAGCCAGTGAGCTGGCCAGCGCTCTCAGCGAGGCGGAGCAACACTGTTCCGAAAAGCTCGGGCGAGCGATGTTCCAGCCCTTCTTCGCGCAGGAAGAGTTCGCGACGAGGCGTCGTTCGCGCGACGCTGAATCCCGCGCTTTCTCGGCGGGCAGACGCGCTGGGCATAGGCGCTCATCCAGCCGAGCCGCGGGCGCAGCTCGTCAGACGGGACGTTCACTTGTTCGCCGATGCTCGTCAGACGGGACGTTCACTTGTTCGCCGATGCAACGGGCGCGCCAGATCCGCGGCTCGCCGCCGCGCTGCCCCCCGACGGTCGCGCCCTCTGGTCCGACGCCCCCCCAGGCGAAGGGCTGCTGCGGGGCCTGGCGCCGCGCGAGCATTCGCAGGTAATGGCGCCAGCGCTGCTTGCAATAGCGCTGGGATTCGCTATCTCCAGCGCGCCCTCGCCAGATCGCCGCGCGGCGATTTGGCCCGCGGCCAGAGTTGAATGCGAGTTGCCGCCCTTGCCGAGGGCGGACCTCGCGACGCCGCGATCACGAGCGGCGGAACTCTTCGCCGCAGAGACGTTCCTAGCCCGCGCCCTCACGGCGACGGCGCGCCGAAGAGGGACGCTGCACCCCGAGAGCGCCGCTGCGCGCTGGGGGCGGCGAGTACCGACGCACGCGAATGATCCTCTGCCCCACGTCGAATCCGCGGCGAGCAGAGTCTCGCGCGCGCGGAGGAGGGGCCCGCGCGCGCGATGCAAAGAGCAGAAGTCTGTTGTCGCGTCGCTATCTGGGCCCGTGGCATGTAGCCATTGCGCTCTACATGTTAGCGCGCGCGCCAAGCTCGGCCAGCAAGGAGCGCGCGCCGGGGCAACAGCCACATCACGACTTCACGGGGCCCGCAGCGTCTCGGCAGAGCCATCACCTTTGAAAACCGCTGCGCTGTTCAAGCCGCTGAAGCGGCACGAGAAATCGCAGCCGGGAGATTCGCAGCTCTGCGCGCTTCGGTTGTTTCGAGCCCGCTTCTACCGCAGACAATAAACGAGGCGTCAATCCCGACGCCCTGCACGACGGACTGTCGGTCATAATAAGCGTGGCCAAGATGCTACCGGCTGCCCGGCGCAGCGCGAGGGCGAGCCTGCGCCCGTGCCCGACCTGCATCAACGCGCGCGCCGCAGCCGCAAACGGTCCGCCAGGCGGCGGGCTGCCACGTGCGTTGATCTCGCGAGAGAGAGCGCGGTGCCTCGCGGGATCCTGAGTCGGCCGACAGGACAGCGCGCCAGCGAACCATCGAGCAGCGCGCGGGGCCCCGCAGCGAAATTGAAGCCCTGCGGCTGGGCCTCGCGCGGCGCAGGTTCAGCAAATTGATGCTCGGCCAGGGGCGCCGCGTTCCTGGGTAGATGTCCGAAGACGTGTCCCAACGCAACGAGCGGCTTCCGCGGTCGGGCGAAATTCGCCATGACCGCGCTCGGCCGCGGCGCGGGAGTAGTGGCCCCGCCGTCGCCCGAGGGCCCGGCACTACGGAGCACGCGCTTCAGCTGCCAGAAGACGCTCGGTAATTACATTCCGCACGTCAGTCAGACTAGCACGCCTCCTCTTACGCGCGCCGCTGGACGGGCTCGAAAACACGGCAGCGGAGCGCGCTGCTCGAGCGGCGCACG